GGGGGGGGGGGGGGGGCATGGCCGTACCATTGTGAAATTCCAATAGGTGCAGATCAAGGACTGGTCGGCATCGAGTGTGCTGATGTCCTGCATGTACTCAAAGACATCCGTGCCATAATCGGACAAGTTGATGGCGTTGCCACCAACACTGACGGAGATGACGTTGTCACCAAAAACCGTGGCATTGGCATGAAAAAAGCTGGACGTGCCAAAAAGCATGACCGAAACTGTGCCGTCCAACTCATCAGCAAAGAGGTCGAAAAAGTCGCCCTTGAGCTGCATGGCCTGCATTGAGGAAGCGGTGCCATTGTTCAGACTCGCTTCAAAGGAATAACCAGTGGACCGTGAGCTCTCCAAAGAAGGACGCGCCACTGCCATGTACACTGATCCCTCACGGTGGCTGTAGGACGTGCTTTCCACGAGCCGTGAACGCAATCGGAAGGCAAACTCCTCTAGAGTTGCTGCATATGAGGTATCGTCAGTCGAGACTCGCTCGCCTTCCATGAGCATGGCACGATCCGTGTTGACAAGCACATCGACCACCCGGGCGACCTGCAAAAGGGCATTGCTGACATCGATGTCGTTTTCATCGTCCTCGCCCATGGTTTCGCACGCCAGATGAATCGACTCGAGACAAACAGCAACGTCTTGGGCACCCATACGACCGCGATACCGCGTGACTTCCGAGGCCCAGTCTTGAAGAATGGTAGCATCGTTAAAGCCGTTGGACGCAAAGCGCGCTTTCAAGTTGACCAGCTCCGGCGAGCGGCAATCAGAGCGATCGACAGTTCCGTACCCAGTTTGGAGGCAGGTGCGACGAGCACTACCCTCCTGCCCTGTCAAGCACGGCATGGTGACAGTCTCCCCCACAAATGCCTGGGGCCATGCGCCAGTAGCCTCGCAGATGGCCGTGCACGCCACACCGGCGCTGGGACGGGCCGTGCCGGGTGCACAGCTGGTGAGGGAGCAGTCGTCGCCTTCGTGGCCTGCATTGCACAGGCAAATTTGAGGCAAGATGCAGGTACCGTGGCCTGAGCAATCATTGATGCTACTACAATCAAAGGTTGCGTCAGGCTTGGCCGAGAAGGCGACCGGCGCCACGGCGTTGTCGGCAAGGCATACAATGTTGCTTGCGGCATCGGGTACGTAGAGATCGGTGGCGTTGATGCGCCAATCATTGACGACCAAAACCTCGACACTCAGGCGTGGGTTGTCCAGGATGACGTTGTCCAAGAACGTCCCATTGACAGCCCCCGCCCCGGAGATCAGCAGGGCAGCCACGGGCATGGGGCCAGAGTCTCCTAAAAAACGAATTTGACACAACAACGCAAGCAGACGACGGTCCACCATGGGTTCAAAAAGCGAACGGCGTAGGTGAGAACATAAAGATGATGGGAGCGAGGGTATCATGTGCTCATGTGCACGTGTATTTGCGCATACGTGTGCATGTGCGTGCGCAAGGGGCGAGGAGGCCCACCTGGCGTGGTGGCGCTGTTGGCATAGTTGTCCTCAATGCGGGCGTTGAGCAAGTCGATTGACAACTTTTCATGAGGCAAAATCTCCACGGCGGCTCGAGACACATTATTGTCATGGAGATAGATGTTGCGCAGCTGTGCTGCCGTATGCACGGGCGGCAAGGACTCGACGCTGTCCACCACGGAAATCATGGTTGGTCCCGTACTTTCGACCACCCTGATCCGGTCCAGGAGCTAGAAAGCAGGCAGTTCCACGTCAGGGTGAGCTTGAATAAATCAGCCTGCGGTGCTTAACACTGCCTTGCGGCAATCGGCTCTGGGAGTGAGTAAAGAATCATACCAGAACTCGCGCGATGGCGTCTGAGCTGCTCGACGTCAGGGCCACCTTGACGGCTACGTCCGTAAGGCCACTGAACTATCAGGTCGGAGCAAGGGTCGTGGTCAATCAAGCCCTTGAGCGACCACGTTGGAACATGCAAAGCGGCGCCTACCGTGACGTCGGTCAAATTCACCACCATGGGATTGGACAAAGAAATGCCCCCGCGCAAACGTGAAAAACGAGAATTGATCATGACATGATCACCAGCCCTGTCAGGATTCAGAGCAAGGGCGTAAGGCCAAAAATAAATCAAACAAAAGGGTCAGCATGGCGCTGAAAGGCTAAGAAGCGAAGGCGATGGATGATCCATGGGAGTTGCGATACACACGTAGCAAAGAGGCCGGTCACAGAGACGCGAGTTGAAGACAGCGTCGCATCCATCAGGGCGCTGGCAGCGTGATTCAAGTGAAGCAGGCCTACAAAGAGAGCAAAAGCCTGTGGCTGAGAGGACGGACCCATATTCGCGAAAGCACCACAGCGAGCATTGAAACGTCAGAAGCACAGGTGACCTACTTGAGCCGGTGTTGCCCGTGACCACAGTGGAGACCAGGGCGATGCCGGGGTGTGGGCTTCCCTCGACACCTTGGACAAAAATTTGACTGTCCAGCGTCCCAGAGAGCGCATTGGCGGTAATCTACAAGTTGGGCCAACAGCCAAGGGTGAGAATTCCACAAACTTTCGAGTGCAGGTGTGCTCTTAGCTTTGACGGTGAAAAGTTGAGGGACAAAGGGCCAACATACGAAGCTGTTTTGCAGATAGATACGCTGCTCATCGGTGGACCCGTTGTAATACACGGCATAGCCCTGATTTTGACGAATGCGTGCGCCGGTAAAGAAGCAAAAGTTTTGGCACGAGCCCGCCTGAAGAGCCAGACCGTGGCTTTTTGAGGCTTCTATGGTAACGTTGGCAGCCTGGATGGTGTCAGCGGCGTTGGCGGGTCCGTCGTTGAGGATCATTCCCATACCAACGCTACCAGAGACGGTTACAAAGTCAAGATCAGCCGGGCCATTGACTTGTAGGGCCACACCCGGGGCTCCGGCCAGAGCGCTGGGGGAAAAGCCACCACGGCGTAGAGTGACGTGGGAGAGACTGGTCGTCGCGGCGTTGGCGCCGATGGTGAAGGTGCCCCATGAATGGCACGCAGCGGCGGCTGAGACGGCCCAAGCGCCGGGTGCACAAGAGGTGGCCGATTGAAAGCTGAGCTTTGGAGCGCTTGGGCAGATGCACTGATTGGCCAAATAAAGGGCTTTGGCAGCGCCAGCCTGGGCGCACTTGTCGACGCAGTCATCCTTGGTCGCCGCGGAAAACTGGACATCCTCGGTAGGGAGGCCGGCGAGCGTGTCTCGGCACCCGAGAAGGGTGCCAAGAGCGGCGGCATTATCCTCGGGACGGCAGGTGAGTACGACGGGTTTACTCTCAGTTCCAGCCATGACCACGCTGCCCAAGACCTGGACGCCCATGCCAGCACTGAGAAGCAGCTGGGCGCCCTCCGACACGACGAGTGAGCCTTGCGAACCAATGACGAGGTTGCTCTCAATGTTCCAGATACTATCATCAGCCATGGTCATAATGCGATGGCAGGTTCCACCGATGATGGCGAGTTCTGGAATCATGAAGCAAGGTTCTTCAGTGGTTTCGTCGATCAAGACGGAGAGGAGCGAGCTGGTGATACTGGCAACGGCTCCTCCAATGTAAAAGATGTCCGAGCCAATGATGGCAGCCGCGGCTTTGGCAAAGTAGTTGACCTGCACCTCGCCTGAGAGAGCGACGCGGGTGAGATTGAGGGTCAAAAGGGCGTCGGAATCGATGAAAGCGTCAGCTGAGCAATGCAGGCAAGTGAGATTGGTGGCACCGGTGATGCCGGAGATGATGGCGGCCGACCCATTGACACGAAAGAGGGTGATGTCAGCCACGGTAGCAGCGGAGATCAGAGTGCCATAGGTGGCTCCGATGATGCGCGATTCACGCACCACGCCCGTGACCTTGATCATGGTGTCACCAGGGCTAGTGTGGCTGTTGTGTTGGAACACGCAGTCGCGCACGACGGCATCGCCGGCTTGGCTAGCCAGAACCAGTTGGCCTTGATTACGAGTAAAGGTGCTATCCTGGACACTAAAGGCAAAGGTGCTGTCCTCATCAATCGCCTCAAGGACAGCATGGCCACTTGGCACCGAATTGTTGGTGAAGGTGGCGCCGATAACCGACACCTCGCTGTCTTCGGAAACGACGGCCACGCCGCCGTCCGTGAACGCGCAAGCACGCACGGTGGTTGCGCCACGCTGGTGGATGGGAACGTTGCCTTTGGAGAAGTCCAGAAAAGCAAGGAGAGCCGCGCCGCTGGTACGAGCACATTGGACAAAGGTGGAGAAGGCGATCGTGACGTCGCTGCGCGGGTTGCGGGCAATGCTGAGAGCGCCGGCGGGCATGGCTTCAAAACGGCTGGTACGAATTAGCACGTTGGCATTGTTGCCGGCAGTAAGGACTTGCAAAGCGGTCGGCATGTGGCCAACGTAGAGCCCTGCATGAAGCAGCGGAAGGTTACAACCAGTTGGGGTCGTGATGGAGGCAGAGGCCACGCCGACAATCTTGAGGCCAGTCAGATTGGAGCAGGCTTGATAACTGACGCCACCACTGGCACCGGCGATGACGACATGTTTAAGGTTAATGTTGGCTGTGGATGTGACAGTGAAAGTGTCGAAAGCCGTTGCAAGGTTGCTAAACGCGCCGGCACCGTGGGCCCCGTAGGCGTGGCGCACAGCGGTAGGGTCATCATTGTGCGTGCCTTTGGGTAGAATGAAAATGGGGTCGTTGATACGGCCTGCTAAAGTGATGGAGCCGGCCAGATTCATAGCTGCCTCTGGGGCCACGAAGAAGACGGTGCCCTGGTTGACAATGAGGGCAGCACCAGCCGGGACGGAGAAGGTGGCATCGACGGAAACGATGCTGAAAGCGGGAATGTTCAGGGTGCCCGTGAGGGGTCCGCTGAGTTGGAGGGTCGAGACAACGCCTTGGCAAGGCACGGGCAATTGCAGGAGAGCGATGCAGAGAAGGGCCAAGGTACCCATGGGCGCAAGCACGTTCGCGGGGTGGCGCGCTGGAGGAGCCGAGCGGGAGCCACGGCGTCGGAGGCTCAAAGCGCCCCGAGGGGACGCCATTTCGCCCATCACCAGGCGTACCGGTCTTGTAGCCCCAAGTGCAGTTCCTTCCACACAAGAACACACGCCCAAAAAGAAGCAGGTCGGGTCGGGTGCCAAAGGAAATGCTGTTTGATGGATTGTGTATCAAGCAAGACCCACCCAGCCAGGGTCACGAGGAAAACCGGAGGAGGCCGCGGAGAAGGCCGGAGGCGAGAGAGAGAGAGGGAGCAGCAAAGCTCTGAAGGGCGCTTCTCCCCCTTTCAGCGTTGATGAGAAAATAGCATTCAAAGATGACGCGAGAGAGAGAGAGAGAGAGCGAGAGAGAGAGAGAGAGAGAGAGAGAGAGAGAGAGAGAGAGAGAGAGAGAGAGAGAGAGAGAGAGAGAGAGAGAGAGAGAGAGAGAGAGAGAGAGAGAGAGAGAGAGAGAGAGAGAGAGAGAGAGAGAGAGAGAGAGAGAGAGAGAGAGAGAGAGAGAGAGAGAGAGAGAGAGAGAGAGAGAGAGTGTGTGTGTGTGTGTGTGTGTGTATCCCTGAGTGTGTGTGAGTAAGTGAGGGATGAATTGGTTAGAGGTAGTGACGTGTGAGCGAAAGGGTGGGGGAACAAAAGAATGAACAATGAGAGCGTGTGGGAGGTGTGGGAGCGTGTGGGAGTGTGTGGGTGTGTGTGTGCGGGGAAGCGTTGTCACCACAGACTTGACTGCGTTCAGAACGCTGGGGTATCACGCCGGAGCAGCGCCTTTTTTTTTTGGTCTGGTGCTGCCATACCAATGGCATGTTCCGATCCAACACGCGCCAGTGCCCTGGACCAGATGCCCCAACGCACATACTGCTGGTGTACGTGCCCACCCAATAAGACTCCAACCAGAGCCACATCATTCGTCGTCGTCGTCACACAGAGCAATGCACTGCCCGTCATTAGTGAACCTTCGCTTTTCTCTCCATGTGCAAGAATGGCATTTGTCATGAGCTACGATCTTCTGGCCTTTGATTGGGATAAGTCTGGACATTCCTGAGTCGGGAGTTGGGCGCACAAGCCCCTTGGGCATGCAGTCCTTTCGTTGTTTGGCTGCGTGGGTGACGTACATGGGACAAAAAGCCTCAACGCGACCAAAGCGACGAAAAACACGACGAAATGCTGGGTTGCATCAATCATTCACAGTGTGCAAGACAGTCACACAAAACTTGGTCAGCCAAAGTAAAGGGGCTCTTGCGGCGTGCGCTGCAGCTGCGACTCGTCACTGAGATAGTCCGCAACGCAAGTAAATTCTTGATTCTTGTTGGCGAAAAGATGAAACACCGTGAGGTTGCCAAAGCCAAGCGCCCTGATAACGATGCCATCGGGGACAAAAAAAAAAAAGGTGGCACACGATCATCCGCAGGTGCGTGGAACATACAACAACGCCCAGAGTGAGTAAGCCGCGCCCCAAACCCTCGCTCATCTTGGCAGCAAGCGCGAGGTGCCCCCACCTCAGATTATCCTTCACCTCGGCCAAGATGTTCATGAGATGATTTTGCCGCTCCGACAACTTGATGGTAAGGACCTAACAACAGGGCGTCAGCGCCAATGCCCAGGGTGCAATGTGCCCTCAGCTCGAGCATGTCAGACTGACCAGGCGGCCCCCAATGGCCATGTATGGTTTGATCTGACGGACAAAGGCCATGGCTTGGCGTCGTGGCACGTTCATGTCGCATGCACACAAATGATAGGGTGCAAATCTACGATAATAAGCCGGGGGGGGGGATGTGATGGTCCATGCGCGTCGAAACGTTGGCATGGGTCAGCACATCAGCACATCAGCCGGAACGTCGGCCTGGTCGGCCCCGTACCTCGCCAGCTCCGTGTCGGAGGCCTCGATGCGACCAGCAATGTGAATAATCGCGTGTTTGGGTGGAGATTCACCGCTGCAGACGACAATCATTTCCCGCCATACAAACCAGCGTGAGGACGCGTGTATTCCCAGCTGGGTTTGGGGCCCCAAAGGGGGCAGTAACGAGCGCCTGGTACAGGATTTGGAGCGGAGCGCAGGTCACCGACCTCGGAATGGTCTCTGGGCGCAGATGCGGCACTGACAGCACCGCGGGATCAACCGCCACTACGTAATCACAAAACTGTCACAGAAAGCCCAAGAAGCAAAGCAGGTTGTCAATCGGGAAGAGAATGGGCTGGGATCGGATCATTGTACGTAGCAAGCACACCCCGCCTGACCTCAGCCATGCGCTGGCTCCAGCCGCCTGGACTTGCCCCCACGTCCAAGCCCACCAACGGGCCATCGCTAAGCCCGCCACCAAGCATAAGCACGCACCACATGCATCAAGCACCAAGCACCAAGCCGCAGATTAGCACCAAACACAACGGCCCCGCTGCCAAGCCTTGGCAAGATTGGCAGCAGCAAAGCTACAGCCACAGGCCCTCTGCTCAGCCAACACCCTTGTTTCACACTGTGCCACCCTTGCTTTGCACTGCACCACCATGCGTACCGCATTCTCTGGTCCAGCGGTCGGCGAATCAAAGACTCGTCCATTTTGTAGTAGGCCCGCGACACGGCGCGCCAGCCGATGGGGTGCTAAAAGGAAGGGGGGAAAGCGGCACAGCATGTTGTACAATCTTATGAGAAACAACCGGCGTTGCCCGTCGAGAATGGCCGTTGGAGCTGCGGCTTTCAGAGGGTAATCGCAGTTTCCTGCTCACAACGGGCTCCTGCCTCCTGCTCACCCATCGTCAATCTCACTTACCCCAGTATTGTAGACAGCATTCGAGCCGCGCTGCTTCATGGCAAAGTATTCGTTGAACAGCGACTTTTCGGCCACGCTGCACCAGGTGTGTCCTGCCTGACTCACGACGGAGACGAGGTGTGTGCTATCCTCCACGCGTGGGGTCAATTCACAGTGCGGGAGGAGCTCATCCAAGATGGGCTTGGCCTTGTCGCCGGGCCACACCGAGAGGCGCAAGCGACTGCCCATGGGCAAGGGAAACCGGCGCAAATATTCGGCCACTGCCACTGGGTCATCGCTCGGCAATTGATCGGTGACAGGGAAAAAGCGCACATAAGCTCCCGCCGTACCAATGCCTCGGTCCTGGCTCAGGCGTTCGATCAAGTCTTGAGTTGCGCGGGCTTGCTTCGGCGGGCACACGCTATCTTGCGTGGTGATCAAGGCCGGCCCATCTTGCGCCTCGGTAAGGCGAGCCTCGGGCCGAAATTGCAGAAAAAGGATGCGGTCAGCCTGCCCACAGGCCTGCACCGGATAGCGCGCCTCCAACCATTTGATCATGCGTCGCATGCCATCCCGCGTCGTGACCAAAATGACATCGGCCGCCGTCTTGCCAGCCATTGCCCGACCCACCGTTGCCGTTGTCGTCACCGCTGCTGCGGCTGCCATGGTTCAGTCGATTATACACAACCACAAATCCGCACCATCCAAAGCAAGGCGAGGAGACGGGTCGATGGCAAAGCCCAGCTCACAGCCGTGCGCGACCCAAAGATGAAGCGCGCTTGTTCCGTTCGACAACGTGGTGCTGACAAACATCGGTAGTTTTGCTGACAACTCAGTTGATCTTTCTTTCTTTTTTTTTTTCCCGCCGAAGAAAAAAAAAAGGACGACATCGCATTGAATTAGTGGCAGTGAGGCGTTGAATGCATTCGTGGCAGTGAGGCGTTGACATGTGAATGCAGTCGTGGCAGTGAGGCGTTGAATGCATTCGTGGCAGTGAGGCGTTGAATGCATTCGTGGCAGTGGGGCGTCGAGTCCATGTGGATGACTGACAGGATCGACGGTCGAGGCGATTCGCGCCAAGATGTGGACGCTCGAGTTGAGCTACAATGGCAAACGAGAACAGGCACACGCGCCAGGTGCGGGACAACGCTTTGAGGCTGGCCACTTTGACATTCGCTCACGCTCGTGACAAACCGCGAACAATGTCCGGCTCATGGAACGCCTGCTGTGGCTACCAATGTCGCTAGACCAAGCCCCGATCATCTACAACTTGACGCTGGGTCGAACACAGACGACCCGCACGTACACTGTAGGCCGACAAAGTAGGACCTTGCACCACCAGACTCGGCATCCAACAGCAGCATCGCTCAAGTCAGACCTATCTGCTTCGACGTTAGATGCCGACATTGTAGTTGCTGGTGGACAAATCAGCCGTCATCATGCAGATGTCATCATCACTGCACACAAGGTACGATTGCCCGATTGCTGCTACAAGTCAGCTGGCACCCCACGCCTCGCCACTCACAAAACATGTTCGTCTGCACCAACAGAACCGACCCAAGGTCTCGATTGTGGACCACTCGAGGATTGGCACCTTCTTTGACCTTGAGAGCGAGCGTCTGATCAAGGGCCAGCCATATGAACTCGAGGATGGCCAGCTTGTGCTGCTCAGCAAGCGCATCTTTGTCTCCCTGCGGTGCGTCGTCGTAGCCACACACTTACAGACCCTGAGACAGCGACAGAAAAAGCTAATTCTCACGCCGCTTGAACCACCAGCCTGGTTTGGCAACCAGTTCGGGTGGTGTATAGCTCGTCCATCCCCAACGACACTATATGCTCGATTGCTGAGCACATTGGTTTGTGACAATGCCCTTTGGAAACTGCACGCACCCTGCGCTGATTGAAGCTTGCTCCGTGCCCACCAAAGGCGGCACCAGCTCACCAATGTTTTGTGCCCATGTGATTGGCTCCGGCTAGGTGCCGATCTGTCAACTGGCTTTACGCATGAGCCCACCCATCTGCTCGTGCCCAAAGTAGAGGTCAGTTTCTTCTTGCCTTCTTCTTCGAGAGTCGCAGAGAAAATGGTAGCACACTCGAGACTTCCTCTCACCTTGGTCTCGCTTTCTCCCGCCGTAGTTTACTCCCAAGGTCCTCCGCGCCATGGCTCGCGGCATGCTCATCGTGCACGCTTCCTACTTTGAGGCCCTCATGGATACCGATACGCCTCCACAACCCAGCGCGTGTGTGCCTGCTCCTCTGTTTGCACGTGACTCATACCAGGCCAGAAGCGTTTGACTGTTTGGTTGCTTGACCTTTCCAACGCCTTGGTGGGCCCAAAAAACAGGCACCAACCCCCGCGTGGCAACATTCCACCCTTGTGTAGTCTGGCACCCACCCCGAGCCGCGCCCACCTCTGCCGAGACTTACACTTTCATTTCTTGGACAGCGAGCAATATGTACGTTGGCCCGTGTATCTGAACAACCCGTTCCGCCCTGAACAAGTGGTGCACCGTCACAAAGTCTTGTGAACGTTGGGTTAGGGAAATCTTGGAAGTCTTATCCAGGATGCTGGCGGGAAAGCCATTCTCTCCTCCGACTCCATGCCACCTCCCGAATTACTCTTACATCCTCAACACGTTTGTTTTTCTATTTGGCTTCGTATCCTCGACTTGGTTTGCGGGTGCTTGTTCATGATCTGGTCAAGTATATTCATGTTTCCGCGTGTCATCTGCGGTGAACCTCGGCATGCAATAGCGAATTATGATGCCTTCGCTTGAGACAGACATGTGGATCAAATTGCAACGTATGCTGACACAGTGAGTACGCCTTGTGTAGGAGCAGGCGGAGATCAGAGATTGAAAACTGTTGCTTTAACCACTGGTGGCCTTCCTTTTGCGTTCCATGGTTGAACAGGCACCAACGCAAGGCCATCAGCCTGCGCGATCTTTGCTACGCCATTGCTCTCAATAGTCGGGAACACTTGGGCAATGTACGCTCGAATGCCCAGTCCACGCCGGCCACTCAGGCCTCGCTCGCCAATGGCAAGTTTGACCTTGCTATTGTGTGCAACCTGACCGAACCGCATCATTGCGCTCATTCATGAGTCCGACGCCCGGGGTACCTTTTTTTTTTTTTTTTTTTTTTTTTTTTGATCGGGATTAGACTCGCAATTTTTCCGCAACAGCGTTATGGACCAGCTCCCTACCGATCCAAAGCGGCCCAACGTCAACGTGAAGCCAAGCATTTCTTTGAATCCAACGGAAGCTTTGCGTTTGGGGACAACTTCTAAGCATGAACCGGGCCTGCAGCCCAAAGCCGCGCCCAAGCGGGCAGCATCACCAGTATCAGCACAAGATGCGGGCCAAGAAGCTCGGCAACAGTCTAACGTAGACCAAAATTCAACGCCCGCACCCAAGCGCGCCAAGGCACAGCATGCTGAGCCGGACGCCCCATCAGCCCATGCTCAAGTCTCCACTCGTCCTGCGTCCAGTGATAGGCTGCAGGTCGACTCGACTGCTCCGATGAAATCGTCCGGTGCTGAGCACGCCGCGCTTACAGCTCAGGACGCCAGCCCAGGTCAAGCAATAGAGATGGCGCCCCACTCGCTCCCAGGACCGGGTGTAAAGGAGCCTTCAACAGAGGACCCTCTTGCGGCAATGGCCATCCGCGCTGATCAGCCCTCACCGGTCGCTTCTCTTGAGGGGGATCCAAGGCCGCCAGCAGCAAATTTGCCCACTGTAGCACGGCCGGCCTTGGTGGACAGCGTCCAGCCAACTGCCGCCAGCTTGCGGCACAAGGCCGAGTTAGCTCAGGCGGCAGAGCACACCCGAACGCTCGCCACCCTGCCCAGTGCACTGCGTGCCAAGGGCACGCGACGAGCCCACCTGATTGAGCAGGAAGATGCGGCCATGATGGCACCTACTACGGCCGAGTAAGGTCTTGCACTCGTCTCTTGACACCCCATGCAAAACTGTGTCCACATCCCGATCACGTAAATCCGCTGTATTGTAGGCTGAATCAAGCGTTTGATGATGAACTGGATCAAGAGTACGTTACAAGCTTGGCGAGCTCGACTCACCTGGTGCGGGGGGGGTCTGCGTGTGATCGAGCCTCATCCCACCAACGCCTTGCCACAGCTCAACGGAGATGCTGGAGGCGCAATATGTTCCGTATGAGGTGCGACGAGCCCCCATGATTTTGCCTTATGCCAGCCAAGTGTCGCCGATTACTGCTGGTACCCGGGCGCTGGCACGGGAGGGCTCCAGCAGTAGCAACTACAAGCGCTTTTGCAAGGTGGCCCTACCTTATAATCCGCAGCAACGTGCTATCCCTGATATGCGCGCTGAAACCGGTGAGTGTCTTATGCCTCACAGCTGGAGGGTTTGTCACTCATTTTGTTGCACGGCTCATTTTGCACGGGGCTTTGCACAACAGCGATGACGTATACCTCGCAACTGACGCAACACATGCAAGCGTATAACTCGGAGCGTCGTCGCGAACAACGCATCCGGGAGCAGGAGATGGCTCTATTTGAGTAAGTTGTGTCTTGGCGGAAACTGCCCTTGATCTGCTTTGCCCCACGCCCCTCACGCCACGCCGCCTCACGCGCTGAATTTAGTGAAATGACGCAAGTAACACGGACGCAAGGGCGTCGCCGTCGTCGCTAGGATGGACATGTGGGACGCGAGTTGGCAGATAACCCTGTACGCACCCGCAGTCGAGCAGAGTAGCATACATTGTCCAGAAATCGATGGTCGATCACGGAAGCTCTCAATTTGTGGCACTGAGCAGGGATTGTGGAATAGGGGGAGAAAAACAAGACGGTATGTACAATCAACAACAAGAGACTTGAGCGCGCAGCGCTTGGCTATCCGCAGATACCCTTGGGCGTCTCATTTAGAAACGCTTCTGGAGCTGGGCAAAGAAGATGACAAGGACATTCACCATGTGGCCCGTCACATGACCGACGAAATTTTATGGATAACCTCGCCATGCACATCATGCGCGAGCATATCATGCGCTGCTCTCGTGCATGTGCAAGAGGTCAAAATTACAGATGGGGCACACGGGCTTTTCGTCAAACCAACGATTAGCACAGCTGGCATGAAATTGATGAAGGCAGGGCAAGGTGGTCACGCCCTCGCTCAGTTCAAAGTCACCGAAGCAAATGCGACATTCACGGCCCAGCAAACTGCTTGCAGCTGTCACAGACGCAGTCGGCAGTACAGACAAAATAGCGGCCAAGCGGGAGGCAGACCCTTCGAAGCGCATGCTCAACTGCGATGTATCGAGGCAAGGGGGCAAGCGAGGAAGGGCTCGTGCCATGAGGACTGGGCATTTGACACAGGCTTTCATCTTGGGCTTTCATGTCACAAGTCCATACGAGCCTGCGCACCTGCATCAAGCGATGGAGATGTTCCCTCATATCAACGTCGTTCTCTTCGTCGGCTTGAGCCGAATGAGCGGCGGCCTGATCAGCCTCATCGGCATCGGCGGCGGCCATCAGCTCATCCTACCAGAACACGGCGGCGGCATGAGGAGTAGACCAAGCGCACCGAAAACAAATTTGATCAGAACAAATCAGAATGATGCAAAGCTAAAAAGCAAATAGCATGTCAATGAATAACATCGAGTGCATAGGGTCAAGAGGTACCTGTAGGCTGCGAGCAAATGCTTCGTCAGCCTCGAGCTGAGCGGCTTGGGCTTCCGCGGCAGCCACGGCCCTTGCAGCGTCCGCCTCTGCTCCCGGGGACAAAGACGACGCCATATCAGCATCCGCTTCAGCATCAAACTGTGATTGATGGGCGACGGGAGAGCACGAGTGGGAAGTGAGTTGGAAATTTGATACAGCACGGCGATGCCAAGGGGTCTAAAGGGCAACCTGCCTGCATCTGTGCTTGCATCAGTTGTATATACTCCACATCGGAGAGACCGAGGTCATCTGCAGTCGGCAAGTCTGGTGCGGAGGTGGTGGCGCGGGCAATATCAGTCGCTGGCGCGTGCGGCGTGCCCTCTGTCGGGGCTGTGGTGTGCAAAGATCCCTCAAAGAAGTCGTGTGCAGAAAGATTATTCAGGAGCGCCTGGGCAGCGCGATTGGCCTCAGCATCCATGGAGGGCGACGAACTGCGGGAGTCGGATTCGACAGCATACATGGTGGACCGAGAGTGGTCTGGGCTCGCACCATGGGCTGGCTGATCGAGGGATTGGGGGTCGGGGCGGCTGGGTGAAGTGAAGGGACTTGGAGGAGGACGGGCTTCGAGTGCCAGGTGGATGGCAAAGCGTGGGGGGGACTTGGCAATGGAGTCGTCACCTGTGTTGGGACGAAACGCCGACGAGGGTAGGCACAAGGTAGTGACAGCGGCCTCGTCAAAATCAGCGTCGAGGATGTGCACGGGAACGACGCCAAGATAGCCCGGTTCAGCGGAGCGATCGTAGAGACGAATGAGCACGTCGCCGTTCAGCGGGACGTCGGGCAGTGCAATGTCGATCGTGCCATTGTCGTGCCGGGTAATGGCGCGTGCGCCCGTGACAGCAGTGGAATGCAACAGGCCGTTGGTGCCAAGAAACATGACAAAGGGGTGTCCCAGATTGACAGCACCTTCTTCTGCGTCGGGAACAACGTGGATGTGGGTTACGTGGATGCGGCTGTCGGGAGCATGGCGATGACAACAACGAGGTAGAGTGGGTAGCTCGTGAGGATCATCGGGCAGACTGGGCGCAAGCTGATAGAGAAGGCAGCGTTCGAGAGCCATTGCAAGGCGCTGAAGGGCTTGGGCTTGAAATGATTGGATAGCGCAGCCATGGGTGCGGCGCCAGGTATTGGTGAGTTCGGCATGGTACTGTGCTGCGAGCTGGGTGGCTGGCTCCTGGGTGGCTGGCTCCTGGGTGGCTGGCCCCTGGGACAGGAAGCGATCAAGAAGCCAAATTTGAACAACAGTAGCAGGCGCGCTGCGAGCATCGAGGAGGAGGATGGGGAGTTGTCGCCGCGTATGGGCAGCACGAATGGCGCGAAGGAGAAGCAGGATGTCCGGCAGGCGAAGCACGATGTCGGGCTCGCGAAAGTCATCGGGCTCGAGTGGGGAGAGCACGCGCGCGTGCAAATCAAGCTTGGGCAGGGGTATGGGCAAGGCGGAGATGAGTATTCGTTCTTCAGCCCCGTTGGCTGACCCGGCGCGTTGCAACTGCTCGTATGTGCGTGGACGGGAGCAGCGCGAGGTGAGCGGGCGATGGGGCACCGGAGCGCGGGAAGCTGAGGCAAAAACACAGCGAGGTGATGGTAGTATGAGAATGCAGGACACAAGCAAGCCGTACAGCCAGGTCGAAGGCAGCCTCTTGATGGATCTTGATGGGACAAATGCCCACGTCGGGCAAGAAATGGACTCGCTCGATGTCAGGGCGCTGCCGGCCAATCCATGCTTGCAAGCGCTGTAAAAGCGGCATGACGCGAGGTTTCAGGGCCGGCTCGTGCAGGACTTGTGCTGGGCCGTATCGAATCTTGACACGCACGCGGCTCCCAATCTCAATCTCAAATCACGACCGGGGTCCAGCAAGCGCCCGATGACCGTGCCAGTAACTTGCTTGCTCACGAGCTCGTCTCAACTGGCTGCAATGCCAGCAGCCACCAACGTAAATACTTCAAGACTGTTCTTTCGAACGCGCCCGTAGCCGCTCCTGTTGCTGCTGCTGCTGTTATTGCTGCTGTTATTGCTCGACCAAGGGCCAAGAGAGCAAGTCAGACCACGACAGCACAAGGTATCAACGGGGAGGGGGGAGGGGGCAGGGGTCTGAGATCTGCCGAGCTATGTGTCGTCTGCTCTCTTAAATCCTTAAATCGGCCGGTTGAGCGCCAAAAGTTGATCTGCACAAAACGTATAATTTGCTGCATTTATTATACTTTGTCTAGTGTTGATTTCTGCATGAATGAATGTTATGCATGCACAAACTGTTGGTGGCTGACAACGACACGCCGTGACGTCTACAAGTCATTCGTAAGCTTCACAAAGTAACGTTATCGATATTAATAATTCTTCACAAAATCTGTTTTGTACTACCCTTTCTACTCCTTGTCATCTTTGTCGTTTGCGCAACATTTCGCTGACAACAGAAAGCGCACACGCAACGCCGGGTGCAGAAAGTGAATGAGATTGGGTTTGAAAAATGGGGAAGAAACAATAGCTAGATTGATCCAACTGGAGCCGAAGATGTCAGACGAAGTTGGGGATTTCTTGAATCAATAAATCAGGAAAAACCTGATTTATTCTCTACTGCTTTTGATTCAGGCTTGTTGGAATCGCTTGCTCGCTTGTGGGTGCCGGTTTCTGGAAATGTCAAGGCAAAGAGAAGAAAGCAACACGTTTCAACACGTTTACCTGGGTGAGACTGCTTGTAACGCTGCAACAACCTTTTGACACGCTCCAAGTTTCCCCCTTACTATGGCTTACAATGGAATGGCTAATCGTCGTGGTAATGTTGATGATGATGAAGATGATGATGATGATGATGTGAGGAGGCGAACCCTACGTCCACGTCGGTCTGGTGGGTCCTGTTGTGGACGCTGACGGTGATGGCTCTGTTGGCCCTGTTGACCCTGTTGGCCCTATTGGCCCTGTTGGCGTTGACGGCGTTGACGGCGTGGCTTTGACGCGTTGGCAGCTTTGGGGGCTCAACGATCCAAGGCGATAGCCACAGCATTCTGCTGTGAATGGGGGGCTACGGTTTTCCACTTCATGTTGAGCTTTGAATTGCGCGAGCCGTTCGTATGGGAACCTGCTCCCGACACGCCTGTGGAGGAGCGAGCCGAAGATTTTGACCAGCTCGAACATCGGAACCTGGCCCCTCAACTCCAAGAGGAAGGGGCCGATGGATGCATAACCAACGGGCCAGACCAACCAACGCCTCGAGGAGGTTGGGTGGTGTTGTTCTTGGTGTTGTTGGCTTTTGCCACCCCAAGCATTTTAGCAGGAGCAGATGGAGTCGACGAAACGCGTCAAACACAACACATACATACACGATAACACACACCGTTACACCATCTTTCTTTTGACTTGTCAACACATTCATGGAAAGCAGTGACCAGTCAACCTAAGAACAAAAGAGAGAGAGAGAACAAAAGAATACAGTGCGATCTCTCAAGAGAACAAAAGAGAGAACAAAAGAGAGAACAAAAGAGAGAACAAAAGAGAGAACAAAAGAATAGAGTGATCTGAGAGAGAGGGAGACAGAGAACAAAAGAGAGAACAAAAGAGAGAACAAAAGAATAGAGAGCGATCTGAGAGAGAGGGAGAAGAGGGTGTTTGGGAGAACCAGAGGGAACACATTGCAGCGTTCCCACTTGCAGTTGTTACCACGCCGTTGCTGTCACCGGCCGCTTTGCCATCTTGCTCTCTCTCGCTCGCTCGCTCGCTCTCGCGGGCTGCGCACCCTGCCTCCGGTCGGTACGCTTTCTGGCGTCGCTGAGGGTGATGCTGGGGGCACCTACATGGCTACAGCCCTTTTCTTGTCGCCCGCTTTCAACGTCAACCCATCCCTTGCTCGAGCACAGTGCGCTTCATCAACGTACCTGGTACGTGCCCCACACGCCGCCCGCGTTTTGTTCATTGAATGTGTGTTCTTCGTCTTCTTCTTCTTCTCTCTCTCTCTCTCTCTCTCCTCTCTCTCTCTCTCTCTCTCTCTCTCTCTCTCTCTCGCTCTCGCTCGCTTTGTTTGGGCCTCTGCGTGCGGAGGAGGTCATCGTCTGCCGCTGCTCCTCTGGGTCTGCCGCTGCCATTTGTTTGGGGGGGCTGTGCTTGTTGGATTTCTCACAGTCGAAACTGGGCCGGTTCGACTTTGTCTCCGTTTTGAAGATACACGTCTGACACGTCAAGTGCACGAGAGACTCGCTCACATTGTCGTTTGCTCCCCCCGTCATCACGACGTTGCGTGCCGTCCCTAGCTCGCTGACGCCTGCTGCATTTGCGCGTGCAGCAATTCCTCTCCCCCTTTAAGCCCCGCACTGGTGCCTCTCTTTGCTGACACCACTTTTTTCACGGGTCTTGGCTTACACTCGCTGCGGCTCGCGGGTCGTGGCTGTGGGCTCGCATTGGTTCCTTTCTCGTTTTGGCCTCGCGAATAGCCGCACCATTTCTTCTGCAGCCAACTCGCGCCACCATTCCAAACGCCACTCGTGCTTTGCACCGCACAACACGTCACGCGTTGCAATCCCCACGCTGGTCCCGAGCGTCACAAAGGGGCGCAGCGCCAACCGAGGGCGACACCAACACGCCCCGCTCCCGCGGTTCCCAGTATGCTGCCCAGCGCAGATCCTTTGCACGCGCTGAGCACTCCCGCCACCCCACATTGTAAGCGCCTCGTGCCACCGCTTTTGCCCTTTGAGCCTCTTTGGCTCCTTCCTCGCTGCCCAATCCATGCCTCTGGCTCGCTCCACCGAGCAGCATAGCACACAATCGCCCACTGAAATTTGCCCCCATCCCGATTCTTGCCATCTCCACCTCCACCCCAGCCAGAGATGCCATGGGCCGCGCTAAAATGGCCCCCATTAGCGCGGGCGACATGGCTTCGCCCACACCAGACACGGTCGCCACCTCGCCTTGCGTAAGCAAGCCCTTTGGTGAGAGCTCAACGGCCTCCTCGCCTTTTTCCTCAACCAATTCCACCTCGGATGCCGTGCCCGACTCGACCACACTCTCCTCCCCCTTGCGCCCCTGCTCTCCAGAGCCAGGCCCGTGCGCTACCTTGGCCGACAGTAGCCAGCACAGTCCCAGTAACAAGGACGCAACGGCTGCCGCCACCCTTTCGTGCCAAGACCAAAGCTTTCTCCTCACCCCACAAAAGATGACCGTGGCCGGCCCAGACCTGATCATCTCCCCGCGCATGCTGGCCTCGGTAACGCATACCGTCTCACCTGTCCCGGCTTCGGTCGACGAACTCGAGGCGACACTCTTCAAATCCAATTCCCCGTCCTTCTCCGATGCCACCCCCGACGATGCCTCGGAGAGCACGGGCCACAGCAGCCCCGGCCCCGATCAGGACTTGCATCTTGGCCATGTCGATGATCAGTCTGATGTCCAGGCACGCTCTCGTCGCTCCCTCGAGGCCATGATCGAACGCTCCCGCCACTTTGAGGAGGTTCTTGCCGGCATTAGCCGCCGCGTCGCTTGTCAAATGCTTCGCCTGCATACACACAACACGGGCGTGACGGTTCGCCTGCGCGCCTCCCGAGACCCTGCCCAGACGTCCGTCCCCCACACCCCGCCCTCCGGTACCCCCAACGCTCTTCATGACGCCCCCTCGTTGCAGGCCGCTCGTCGCTCGCCGCCCACGCAAGCCGTTCTCGACGAGGCTCGTGCCATGCGACGTCAGGCGCTCGATGCAGGCATTGGCCTGGATGGCTCACGCTCCTCCAAGCGCAAATTTGAGCGCAGCCTCGCTGCCCTTGATCCTGACGCCACCGAGGAGTCGGATGTGTCTGACAGCGAACTTGCGCGACACGTTTATGCCAGTGATGCGCGCCTTCATGCCATTGAGGTGCAACGGCGCGTCCGCCGACAACGATGGCTCCATGAGCGTGCATCCTTTTGTGCCCAGGCCCAGTGGCTCCAGGATCGTTTACAGCGTGTGGAGAAGGAGCATCGGGCCGCTGTTCAGGCCCGCACCGCCCGCCATCCCGCCTACGCCGCCGAAGTACAGACACGTGCCAGTCGTGAGCACGGCTGTCCCGCCACTCACCGCCGCAAGCTCATCCGTGATGTTCCCGTCGGTAACCTACCCGTGCGCGCTTCTCTGGACAAGCCCCTCCCGAGCTTTAGAAGTCTTGCGAGCACTGCTGCCAACTACGATCCCGCGTATCACCCCATCTTGTCCGGTCCAGCCAACTTGCCACTGCCCGTCCTGGAGCACTGGCAGGCTCAGGTCACCCAATTTACCACACGCGACCTTCGTCTCGCGCAACCCCGTGCCGTGAGCGGGGTGCCCGTGTCCGCCTCGGCTGGTCGCCGTCGTAGATCCACTGCAGCCACGCCCAATGCGCACTCGACGGAGGGCAAGCGGCGCGACTCTGCACGACGCAGTGCCCCTGAAACACCAGAGCCCACCACTAGCCGTTCAACCCGTAAGGCGGACACATGCGCCCGTCGCCTATCCCCCGGTGGCAACGGCGAGCCCGATGCTTCCGCCATCCTCGTGTCCTCGCTACCCCCGGGCTTTGTACCCCCTCGACCTGACCTCTCGGCACTTGAGCACAAACCCGTGGAGACGCCCCACTTTGCCCGTGGTTATGACCTGCAGGCCCTGATCCAACAGTCACAGCAAAAGGTGAGTCCTTTGTCCCGGTGCAGAATACAAAGGGGGGCGTCGGAGGCGGGATGCTTG